AAAAATCTGCAGAACGATGAATAATCGATTTTCAAGTTGATAATCGATTATCCATCGTCTTCTACCTCGAGCCAACTTGCGGAAATGTCACTTTTACTCACCAAACTTCAATTAAAGTATATAAAAATGTTCTCCAAGGTTCATGGATCATTTTAGCATCATTAATTCATAATTTTAACATCAATTTCATGGTTTATGATTCTTGGTTCTTCAAGCATGTCAAACACAAAACTCAACCAAATGACCATCTATGAACGTAGAATCGATCTATATGAACATTCTAGTCATTAGATATATCTACGGGCTTACCTCGAAGCCAAACAAAGGTTTTGAAAATTTTCCGGCGAAACTTCCGGCGAGTATTTCTCCCAACTCCAGCGACTTCACACCAAATTGACAGCACCACAACACTCCTCACACTTTCATGAAGACTTAGGAAGAAGAATGAAGAAGAATGGTGAAGAAATGAGAAGGAATGGTCTCACTTATATAGAAGGAGAAGGAAGGATAAAGCAAGCCCTGTCACCTTCTCGTGTTGGAACGGCTGAGTGGAGGAGGAGGCTGATCTCTACGGGTTTTTTAAACGCAAGTCCCTGATTGGGACTAATTTTGGTCCCAGTCGGGGTACACTTTTTGGTCCAACTTTCTCCGAATTGAATTCCGTTTGTACCGTTGCGATCAGACAGTCGAATTCTAGTCAACGGTTTACTTATTATATTTATTTGTAATACTTTTTCTGACATCATATTTGTGGGTGTTTGACTTTAACAGAGTCAAAATTGGTTTAATTGACTTATACTCAAAAAGGTTCTTGCATTCCATTCATATTATTTATTCTCATGATTTATTTCAATAAATCATTTCAAAGTTTACATCATAAACAATTTTTCTTCATTTATTCTTAATTTGGGTCTGTACTCAGGTTCCTAATCAAGGTTACACAAATAGTCAACATATTTTATCTCAATGAGATTTATCGAGATTGTGATATTGGACTTTAGAACATATTTCATATCGGGCCCAAAGCCCAATAATAATATTTTTTAATCAAAACAAATTTGTTTAATTGAATATTTAATTCAATAAATTTTAGGGTATGTTTTGGGGCGTTACAATAATAACCTAAAAATAACAAAATTGGAGGTGTAGTTTGATTGGTATACTTGGCAAACACTTAGGGGCTGTTTGTTTCAGTCTCTTAATGGTTCAGATGTCTGAATGGTTCAGCACTTAATAATTCAGACTGTTTGTTTCAGCCTCTTAGTGGTTCAGATGTCTGAATGGTTCAGACATTTGCCTCTGAATGGTTAAGTATTATACAGAGTCTGAATGGTTAAGACCTCTTATCTGAATTGATCAGACATTTGCCTCTGAATAGTTAAGCAATATACTACTCCTTAATTTGTGTGGTGGTATGTCATTGCTCTTAATGGTTCAGACCTCTTACTGGTTCTTGACCTCTTACTGGTTCAACATTTAATGATTCAGACCTCTTACTGGTTTAGCACTTACATATTCAGAAGTTGCCAAACAGCCCCTTAGACGTTCATGCTTAAAAAAAATGTACTATCATACGAGGGCCAGTGTTACCTTTCTATGCCAAATACTCCTATATCACATAAGCTAAATTTGTTACCAAATTATTTTTATGGGAGTCATACCATCCACCCTTACCGAGTATTCAAAACAGTTCGAGAAAACTATTTATATGAGAATTACTTGGTGAGATAAAAATGGAATACTACATGCATGAATATAAATTAAATATTTTAACCAATAAAAAAATAATTTAGTCAGCGTGTCACAAGTGAGTGAAGTGACATGTCGTGCGGTGGTATGTCATTGCTTTTGTCACTTTAAATATTTTTTCATATATTTTAATTATTGAAACTTAATTTACTTGTGTTTTTTCATAAAATAGATGTACTCCTTTTAAAAAAGCTTCATTCCTGTACAAAAAAATAAAAATATATAAAAAAGACCAAAGAATAGCAAATTTTTACGTGAATCTAGCAAATTTCATACTCATTTTATGTATTTTAGTAAATTGATATCATAAAAGAATTAAATATTTTACAAAAAATAAAAAGATTTGCTTCCTAACCTACAAAAAGTGTGAAACATTTTATACGTGGATCTTATGATCATGAAAGAACTCATAAAGATTAGAGTTGTATGCAAAATATTATTGTTTCCAAATACCAAATATACTTTTTAAATCCTAAAATCATAGAGATTAAGAGTTTTGTTCTCTTCAACTTATTCCTTTTATTTACAATTTATTTTAATTATAATCGGGTCAGATAAAAAGTAGTTTTAAATATAAATGTAATTAGATCAAATTAGGATTTAATCGGATCATGTTAGAACTAATTAGATAAGTTTAAGAAAATAAACTCTAATCTAGAGTGAGAGATAAAAGTACATGTTTCATAGTTTTCTATTGCCCTAAAAGTGAAATAAAAATTCTCATCCATTTCCCTAATACATTTTCATTGATTATGTATAAAAATAAAATAGTAAAGTCATATCGTATTTTATAAAGTTTTGATGGATTTTCTTAAATATATAAATTTTATTTTTAATTTTATATCAAAATTTACTTTAAACTAAAGATAAAAATTCAAAAAAGTAACATTATATCCTGTTGTCAAGTTTACAGAGTGGGAACGGGTGACGCCGGTGGGCGTCAACCCTATTTTTAACGTCAGGGGGCGTTAAACACCGCCCCCTAGGGCGTCAAACGGG